TGTGTGTGTGTGTGTGTGTGTGTGTGTGTGTGTGTGTGTACCTGCCAGAGGACAATATCAGGAGTCTTCAATTGTTTCCCGTCTTATATTTTTGAGACATTTTCTCTATACGAACTTGCCATTTATGGACTGTCTGGACAGTAATCTTAAAGGAGCCTCCTGGCTCCACCCTTCTTCCTGTCCCTAAGGTTACAGAAATATGTGACCTCCATCATTTTTCATGTGGATGCTGAAGGTCCTTCTACTTTTGATACAAGAACTTTACTTGACTGAACCTCTTTGCAGCTTCTGTTCTGGCCATCTCTGTGCTATGAATTCTATACCCCAACTGTGGACTATTTCAGTTTGATGTAAACATCTAGAATGTTGATTTGAACCACTCATTCCATTTAAATCATAGGGGTTTGCATAGAAGACTTGGAAACGTCTTGGGGATATTTTATTCAAGCCCCAAATGATAATTCTTTTCATAATGATAATTCTTTTCATAATCTGATTGTCTAATCTTAGTTCTTGGGTTAACTGTTCTCATGCATGTGCATCCACACACATACAATCACAGTCATACTACACTACACTACACACACACACACACACACAACCTAGTTCCTGTCTTAATTTTATATTAGTTACTTTCCTATTATTGAAGTAAAACGCCATGACCAACATTCAGAAGAAGAGCCTATTTGCCTAAAACACCTACAGTTCCAGGGATGAAAGTCTATCACCATGGTTGCAGGGAAGAGTGACAGCAAAAGAAAGAAGTTGAGCCACATCTTAAAACACAAGTATGAACCAGAGAAAGATCACCGAGACTGGTACAAAGCTTTGCAACCTCAAAATCTGTCCCAGTGACATACTTCCTCCAGCAAGGTCACATTCCCAAAACCTATGCAAATAGCAATATCAACTACAGATCAAATATTCAAAAATCTGAGCCTATGGGAGACATTTTCATTCAAACTATCACATTATGTGTATTCTTATGTTTCAGGTAGTTTTGTCTTATAGCAATAAACCATATTCCTAGGGCATATATTAACTGTAGTATACATTTTTCAAACTTTCCATGGTGCTGTAGGAGAACACCATAGATTTCATAAGATCTATCACATTATCTGACCTGTATACTTTTTAATTTCTCATGTCAAATAACAACTCTTACTTTACAGATCAAATCTTAAGAACTGATACTTTGCCCCCAGAGTAAAGATAGTTGTATTGGAAACAAACTCAGGGATGGACAACGCAGAATATGACAAATAACTCACCTCTTTCTGCTTTGTTATGCATCCACACCAGTTTAGTACCCTTCCAACCTCCAACCAACACCAAGAAAGAAAGAAATCTTGCAGGCACTCAACATTTCCAGGTGCCACGGGAATTTTCAAGAATAAATCTTAAGGAAGTGAGCTTGTGTCTTCTTCCAGAAGAGACAACTAGAGTTGTAAATACTATAACCCAATATCTGGTAGACATATTCAACCTGTGGCTCACAGTCCACATGAAGACAATTGCAGCTAAGAAAAGGTCTAGCACAAAAGGATAAATTTACTCAAAACAACAAGATTCTTTTGGTAAACCAACTGCACAGTTTTTGAGAGTGAATTTTGTGTATGTGTGTGTTTGCCATGTTGTAATGTCAAAATGTTGGAAACCCTGATAAGGGTTTGCATTCCTAGAATTGAGTGTCTTAATATCTCTCTAAAATGACCCTGACTTGAAAGACATGGGAGATGGCTCCCCCAGTGAAGTGTTTGCTATACCACATGAAGACCTAAGGCTACTTTCCATCACCACATAAAAAAAACTGGAAATAGTGGCATAGGACTGTGGTCCAAAACCCAATTAAGTAGACTGACATGGCCAGCTTTACAGAATTTGTTATTCTCAGATTCCAGTGAAAAATCCCATCTCAAAATTAACTGAGGTGGATCGCATCTGATGGTGGATGGTCATTAGAGGTTGTCCTATGGTCTCCACACTGTGTACATAATTTATAGACACATGTGCACCTGAACCCACATACTTTCACAAAACATTCCTTGATGTCATATGGGTTTGAAGACCATAGGGGGGAAAACAAACTACAGGGATAACTGTGGATGATTTTTAAAAATATTATATACTGTATATCATACTTATAAAATACCTTAAGCTTATATAAAGTACTCTGAATCACATGCTCATATGATAAATGTGTAACATAAACCTTTATCTACAAGCAGACCACCCTAGCTCACTTAACCTATCTTAAATATCCTCAGAGTACCCACACTAGGCTTCAGATGGGCAAAAATCAAATCTTCTAGCATAAAGACCATGTTATATTAAATGTTAAAATATTATTTCGTGTGTTGGAAGAAAAAAATGAATGACTCGGTATGCCTTCACATTGTAGATTCAAAAAGTCACATTTTCCGCTATACTTATTTATTATCCTTATAATAGTACCAAGTATCAGAAGGTCTTGGATACTCACCAGTCACAGGGCAAGGAAGAACTTCATACTTAATCTAATATTTCTGCAATGCACACCCCCACCCAGTGAGAAAACATGACTCGGGTGTAAATTTAAAAATATTTTGTGGTATACTTTCCTCAAACACCAAATAGTCCTTCAATGAGAGGTGGAGTTTCTTGAGAAGATATGTTCACTGGTGTAGCAGTTGCAGGATTATTATGGTTGCCACCAACCACCTTATCATTGATCTACTTGCACTGTGTGTGTGTATAAGCAGGCAGAGGTCAGAGGTCAACCTCAGGTTTCATTCTTGATTTTTGAGATGGGGTCACTCATTTGTCCTGGAACTCACCAATTTGACTATACTCAATGTCCAGTGAACATTTTGTATTTACCTCTCTACTACTAGGTTACAATCACATACCCCATGCCTGAATTTTTCATGTAGTTTCTGAGGGGTCTAACTCTGATACTTATGTTTGTATGACAAGCATTCTATGGACTGAGCCATCTCCCCAGCTCTATTTTTCTATCATTAATGATTATATTATTACCTGCATACTTCATATCCCAGTTAACCTGATCTTATTCCTAAAAACTCATCATATCAAGGAGAACAGAGGCCAGCTTACCCAAGTACATGAAGGGAACACTTGCTGTTCTATCACGTCTCAGAGAAAACCATCCCACTGACTTCGAAGGTATTCCCATCTAGGGTCCATTTCTTCAGGGTCTTACACTGGATAAAAGCAGAAGAAAGGTCCTCACTACTGGCACTAGTTATCTCACAGTCTTCTAACCTACAACAACAACAAAGAAAACAGTTATATGTCAGGGTGGGAAGGAATATGCATTTGAGGTGACTTAGTCATTTACACTATACTTACTCCACAGCCTCTGTGGAGAGTCTCTTAAAAACCCAGTGTCCATAATGTCAAATTTTCCCTTCATTGGCAGATGAGACCACATTGCCCTTTCTCGGTATCCATGTCTGTGGTGAACTAATAGTTCAACTAAGAGTCTTCTGTCCCAGCCCTTAAACCGAGGGATAAAATTGAACCTTGCACTGTTTAGTATAGTTAAAAAAGGGTTGGTTAGTTCCGAGCCTACACCTCAAGCACCTTGATACCTTTTGATTTGAACCACTGAGATCCATTCTACCATGAACTAAACTATGGACTATCAAAATTCATGTGTTTAAGTCCTAAATGCCCACTGTACAACAGGAATTGATTTTGAGACAGTGTCTTCTCAGAGCCAACTAAATTAAAATGAGGATAATCAGTTGGCATCTAATCTTGTATAACTACGAAGACACCTGGAGAAAGCAAACATCTTCAAATCAATAAAAAAAAAAAAAAAACGCCTGGAACATACTTCTTTTCTTGGTCCCCTAAAGGAACCATCCCTGTTGAGAGCATAATCTATAATCTAACCTCTACAACTGTGTTTGTAAATAAATCTCTACTATATGAACTACTCAATCTATTTTTTGTCATGGCAGCCAAATCATTTACCACATCAGTTAGTTCACTCAAATAAGTCAATGAGATATGGTCTAGTCACTCCTGTCATCTCCAGTGGACATCTATCCATGCATCCATCCAATCATCTATGTTTGTATCCAATATCCATATATGCTCCCATCCAAGTAAAAAATATCTATTTATCCAGGCTTTCATTCATGAAGACAAGCATACATCTATACTTGCAATCATCAATCACCCACTTATCCGCCCATGCATCTATTCATCCTACCATCTATGCAAACATCCAGTATCCATATTTGCTTCTATCCAAGTAAAGGCACAGTTCACACTTGTGAACTGTCATTGGGAGCTGGTAATTGAACCTGAGTTATCTGGAAGAGCAGTCAGTGCTCTTAACTACTAAGCCACCTCTTCAGCCCACTATGGAGTTTTAATTTCCTTTTCTGCACATTAATTGTCCAACTTTTGTCATCCTCAAAGACACATCTATAACATTAATGACACTCACTCAAGATTCTCTAAGTGGCAATTGGGATGTTTTATAGCATCACACAGCAGCTTTACACCAGTGTCTCCTAGTTTATTGTGTGAAATTTGTAGGCACTTCAGGTTCTTGTTGTTTCTCAAGACTTCAGCCAGGTCCTGGCAGCCACTAGAGGTGATTCGACAATATACCATACTGCAAGAGAAAAATCACAATACAGTGGTTACTCCCTCATTTGAAGAGGAAGCATTTCACAAGACTCAATGGTCCTGAATCTTGAGAAAATACTCAGTGATTCAGAAAACATCTTCGCATTGGTCAATGACAATGAAAAACTAAGTAAACCAGGCACACTCATATATTCAACATTGAATAGAAGGTCATTTACACTACAAAGTAATGAAAGTTAAGACAGGGGGCTGGAAAGGTGGCTCAGTGGTTAAGAGCATACTTTTCTTGCAGATGACCCAGATTTGTTTGCCAGAACCCATGTCAGGCAGCTCACAAGTACCTGTAACCAGTTCCAAGGGATCCAATTCTTTCTTGCAGTCTCCTCAGGCACTTGCACATACAAACACTCAAACATACACACATTAGGTGAAGCAAAGAAATCTTTTTAAAGTTAAAATTATAGTGTTAAATAATATTCTTGAGCAATAATTGACAATAGGTAACTCATATGAAAATGGACTGGAGCACTATGGGTAACCCACAATGTGGGTGAGGCAGAGATGGGAGTGGCTACTGTACAGCTTTCAAGGTTTATACTCTAAACCAGGGGAAGAAAGATGATATGATGTCTCATTGTAACCCAGTATGGCCAAACCAACCAAACAAGTAATGCACATAAAAGAGAGAGTCTATTTTGTTTTGGCCAACTACTCTTGAGTATGGGACCTACTCTAGAGCATGAGTGATATACTAAGTTTCACTCCATTGGAGAAAACTGATGTTTGCTCTCCCAGTGGAGTTTTAAATTCATAGTATTTTTAGAGACATCAAGTGGTTTATACTTTTGAACTACTTTTTCTTCATTCTTTAGATTGATGCTGAATCATAGATACTATTAATGTTTTTAAAGTATAACCTATATGGAGAATACCAGCTTGTTTTCTCCTCTGAAGACACCAGTTTGAAGGCCTCATAGGAGTTTGACTACATGCAGGGCAAGAGGTAAAGGACCCTACCAAACAACTGCAGCAGCTGGAAACTCCAAGGATCCCAGCAGACTTGTGGCTCATCACCCCTCCCCCCGCCCCAGAATTCCACTCCCCTTCCAGCCTGTGCCTTCTGCTGGGGCAGATCACCAGCTTCTCTGTTCCTCTGAAGACACCACAGACTGAAGGCCTCCCAGGAGTTCCACTACAGGTAGGACAACTGATCAAATGGACTAAAGGCCTTGATGGAGTTCTGCTGCACACAGAGTAACAGACATCACAGTCTGAAGGCCTCCCAGGAGAACAGCTACATGCAGGGCAACAGCTTGACTGCTCCTCTGAAGGCCCAATAGTCTGAAGACCTCCAAGGAGGTCTCTTGCAGCCAGGGCAACAGATCAGCAGCTTGTCTGCCCCTCTGGAAGCCCCATAGTCTGAAGGCCTCCCAGGAGAGCTTGTGTAGCCAGAACAACAGGTCACTAGTGTACATGCCCCTTTGAAGACACCACAGCCTGAAGGCCTCACAGGAGGTCTGCTACAGCAAGGGCCACAGGACTCCTCGGATACCTGCAGCAAACTAGGCACACAGAAGGCAGGCTTGAGACAGAGACACCCAGACCAGTTAACACCAGAGATATCCAGATGGTGAGAGGCCAACACAAGACCATAAGCAACAGAATACAATATACTTTGGAATCATCAGAACCCAGTTCTTCGACCACAGGAAGTCCTGGATACACCAACACACCTGAAGATTAGGAAGCTGATCTAAAATTTCATCTCCTGAAGATAATAAAGTCCATTAAGGAGGATATAAGTAACTAACTGAAAGAAATACAGGAAAAGACACTTAAAGAAGAAACAAATTCCTTAAATAAATACAAGAAAACACAATCAAGCAGGTGAAGGAATTGAACAAAGGAGCCCAAGACCTAAAAGTGGGAGTAAAGATAATAAAGAAAACACAAATGGAGACAATCCTTGAAAAGGAAAAACCTAAGAAAGAGATCAAGAATTGCTGATATAAGCATCACCAACAGAATAGAAGAGATAGAAAAGAGAATGTCAGGAGTAGAAGATTCTGTAGGAGAGATTGACCCAACTGTCAAAGAAAATTCAAAATGTAAAAATTCCTAGCCCAAAGCATCCAGGAAATTCAGGACACAGTGAAAAGACCAAATCTAAGAATAATAGGAATGAAGGAGAGCTAAGATTCACAGCTCAAAGAACCCGGAATCATTTTCAATAAAATCATAGAAGGAATCTACCCCAACCTAAAGAAAGATATGGCCATAAAGGGGAAAAAAGCCTATAGAACACCAAGTAAATGGGACCAGAAAAGAAAACCCTCTTGTCATATAATAATTAAAACATTAAATGTATAGAACAACAACTAAAAGCAGCAAAGGAAAAAGGCCACATAACATATGAAGGCAGACATATCAGAATTACACTAGACTTCTCAAAAGAGACACTAAAAGCCAGAAGAGCCTGGACAGAGGTAATGCAGACCCTAAGAGAACATAAATGCCAGCCTAGGCTACTATACTCTGCAAAACTCACAATCAACTTAGAAGAAGAAACCAAAATAATCTAGGACAAAACCAAATTCAAACAATAACTATCTGCCAATCCCTACAAAGGATTCTAGGAAGAACACTCCAAAACAAGGAGGGCATCTATACCAAAGGAAAAAAAAAAAAACAAGATATTAATCATCTCACAACAAAGCCAGAAAGAGAATCACATGCACATAATGCCATCTACAATAACAAACATAACAGGATCTAACAATCATCTGTCTCTAATATCTCTCAGTATCAACAGACTCAATTCCCCAATAAAAAGACAAAAGCTAACAGATTGGATATACAGACAAGACCCAGCATTTTGCTACATACAATAAACTCATCTCAATAACAAAGACAGACACTACCTCAGAATAAAATGCTAGCAAAAAAGTCTTCCAAGCAAATGGTCCCAAGAAACAAGCTAGAGTTGGTGTTTTAATAGCCAATAAAATAGACTTTCAACAAAAAGTTATCGAGAGAGTTAGGAAAGGACACTTCATGTTCAAAGAAAAAAAATTAACCAAGAGAAAGTCTCAATTATGAACATCTATTCCCCAAATGCAATGGCACCAACATTCATAAAGAAATTTTACTAAAACTCAAAACACACATTGAACCCCACTCAATAATAATGGAAGACTTTAACACCCCACTCTCACTAATAGACAGGTCATTGAAACAGTAACTAAACAAGACACAGTGAAACTAACAGAGGTTATAAACAAAGTGGATTTAATATATATCTACAGAACATTTCACCCTAAAACAAAAGATTATATATTCTTCTCAGCATCTCATGGAACCTTCTCCAAACTGACCATATAATCAGTCACAAAACAAGCCTCCACTGATCCAAGAAGATTGATATAATCCCAAGCATCCTATCATATCACCACAGCCTAAAGCTGTTCCTCAATAACAATGAAACCAAGAGAAAACCCACCAACACATAGAAACTGAACTCTCTACTCAATGATAACTTAGTCAGGGAAGAAATGAAGAAAGAAATTAAAGACTTCCTAGAATTTAATGGAAAATGATGAGGCACAATATCCAAACTTATGGGACACAATGAAAGTAGTGCTAAGAGGAAAAAAATCATAGCTCTGAATCTCCTGGTAAGGAAATTGGAGAGATCCTACACTAGCAACTTAGCAGCACACCTGAGAGCTCTAGAACAAAAATAAGCAAACACACCCAAGATAAGTAGCTGGCAGAAAATACTCAAATCAAATGAATAGAAACAAAGAAAATTTTACAAGGAATTAACAAAACTAAAAGCTGGTTCTTTGAGAAAATCAACAAGAGAGATAAACCTCTAGCCTAAATAACTAGAGGGCACAGAGACAGTATCCAAATTAACATAATCATAAATGATAAGAGACACAAAAAAAAAACTGAGGAAACTCAAGAACTCATCAGATCCTACTACAAAAGCCTATACTCAACAAAACTGACATTATAAATGAATTTGTGTAAGAACTGTGTTCACTGGCTAACTTTGGAACTGGTATAGTCACAGCACAGAACAGGAAGGCAGGAAGGAGGGTGGGAGCTTTCCTGCTTTGGCAGCAGTTGGGATTACCAATGAATACTTGGGTAGTTTTAGATGATCAATAAAAGTACTAAGGCCATTTCTTGGAAATGGAAAATCTAGGTGATATGAATGATTTTCTAGACAGATACCATATTCCAAAGTTAAATCAAGAGCAGGTAAACTATCTAAACTGTCCCGTATACCATAAGGATATATAAAAACTCATTAAAAATCTTCCAATCAAAAAAATCCAAGGGCCAAATGGCTTTAGTGTAGAATCTTACCAGACTTTCAATGAAGAGCTAAGAGCAACCATAAGCTACAAACAGAAGGAATACTACCCATTTCACTCAATGAAGCCAATTATTCTGATACCTAAACCACAAAAGCACCCAACCAAAAAGAGAGAGAGAGAGAGAGAGAGAGAGAGAGAGAGAGAACTTCAGACAAATTTTGTTTATGATATCAATGCATAAATAGTAAAATTCTCAGAAACCAAATTCGACAACACATAAAAATCATCATTCATTACGATCAAGTAGGCGTCATCCCAGGGATGCAAGGTTGGTTCAATATATGAAAATCCTTTAACGTAATCCACTATATAAACAAACTCAAAGAAAAAAAATTAGAGGATCATCTTATTAGATGATGAAAAGGCATTTGACAAAATACACCACTCCTTCATATTAAAAGTATTCGAGAGATCAGAAATTCAAGGCCCATACCTAAACTCAATAAAAGCAACATACAGCCAGCCAACAGTCAATATAAAATTAAATGGAGAGATACTTGAATCAATTCCACTAAAATCAGGGACAAGAATATGCTGGCTCTCCCCATATCTATTCAATATAGTACTGGAAATTCTAGCCAGAACAATAAGAGAACAAAATAAAATCAAGGGAATACAAGTTGGCAAAGAAGAAGTCAAGGTATCACTATTTGCAGATGATATGATAGTACACATAAACACCACCAGAAATTCCACCAGAGAACTTCTACAGCTGATAAGCATCTTCAGCAAAGTGGTTGGATATAAAATTAACTCAGATAAATCAATAGTCTTCCTTTATATGAATGATAAGTTGGCTGACAAATTAGTGGAACAGTACCCTTCACAATAGTCACAAATAATGTAAAATGTGTTTGGAGAACTCAGATAAGTGTAAGATCTGTATGACAAGAACTTCAAGTCTCTCAAGAAAGAAACTGAAGACCTCAGAAAATGGAAAGATCTCCCATGCTCATGGATTGATAGAATTAACATAGTAAAAATGGCCATTCTAACAAAAGCAACCTACAGATTCAACACAATCTCTATCAAAATCCAATACAATTCTTCAAAGACATAGAAAGAATAATTCTCAAATTCATCTGAAAAAAAAGACAAGAAAATCCAGAATATAAAAAACAATTCTTAACAATAAAAGAGTTTCTGGGGGAATCACCATCCCTGACCTTAAGCTGTTCTACAGAGCACTAGTGATATAAATTGCATGATATTGGTACAGAGACAGACAGGTTGATTAATGAAATAGAACACTTACAGACACTTGATCTTTGACACAGAACACAAAAGTATACAATGGAAAAAAGAAAGCATCTTTAATATATGGTGCTGGTTTAACTGGTAATCTGAACATAGAAAAATAAAAATAGATCCATATTTGCCACCTTCAACAAAGTTAAAGTCCAAGTGGATCAAGAACCTCAACATAAAACCAGATACACTCAATCTAATAGAAGAGAAAGAGGAAAAAAGTCTCAAACTCATTGAATGGGAGTGGGGAAGAATTCCCTAAAGTGAACTACAATGGCTCAAGCTCTAAGATCAGGAATTGATAAATGGGACCTCATGAAACTGATAAGCTTCAGTAAGACAAAGGAAATAGTCAATAGAACAAGTCAACAACCTACAGATTGGGAAAATATCTTCACTAACTCCACATCTGAGAGAGGGCTAATATTCAAAATATATAAGGAACTCAAGAAGCTAACCACCCCAAGGCATGATACTATTACTGATACTATGGTGTGCTTACAGACAGAAGCCTAGTATGGCTGCCCTCCAAGAGGCCCAACAAGCAATTGAAAGAATCAGATGCAGATACTTACACCCAACCAATGTTAGAAGCTGGAGACTCCTGTGGTTAATTAGAGAAAGGCAGGAAGAAGCTGAGGTGTAAGGCAACTCCAAAGAAGACCAGCAGTCTCAACTAAACTGAACATCTGAGATCTCTCAGACATTGAGCCAACAACCAGGCAGCATACACCAGCTGATTATGAGGCTCTGAAACATACAGCAGAGAACTGAATGCTCAGGCCTCAGTGATAGAAGACGCACCTATCCCTTGAGAGAGATGAGGCCCCAGAGAGTGGGGAAGTCTGGTGGGGTGGTCATTTGGGGTGGGAACATCCTCTTGGAGACATGAGTGTGAGGAGTATAGAATGAGGAACAGTGAGAGGGCAGACCAGGAGGGGAATAACAAATGGACTGTAAAAAAAAAAGATTAAAGAAAAATAATTTAAAATAAATAAAAAGAAAAGAAAGAAAAGAAAGGAAGGAAGGAAGGAAGGAAGAAGAAAAAAGAAAGAAAGAAAGAAAGAAAGAAAGAAAGAAAGAAAGAAAGAAAGAAAGAAAGAAAGAAAGAAAGAAAGTTGAAATGGTACAAATCTACTGTTCTATATAAAATACATATGACACATCTACATGTATATGTATATACATATAAAATGTATAAGACACTGTATATATAGAAACAATGTATACAGTTATAAGCTCTTAACAAATGTTGTATAATTTCATTGAGCTTTTATACATCTTTATTTTTCTTATTTAAAATTGACATCAAAATGCCTTGTTTGTTCAAATATAAAAGATATAATTTAAAACATTTAAAAGTAACATTGCACAATGCAAAACTTAATAGCAAACAAAAACTGGTATTTGTACTTACTTTAAAAAAAATATATCCTATATGTCATGTTAGAGGGTTTTTGAAAGCAATCAATACATGGAAAACACATTCTACATTGTGTTTCATTTTCTTCCTTATCCTCTTTCTAGAACGGACAAAAATGTTGTGATTCTAAGATTTCACAACAGACTAGGTAACAGAGTTTTATCAAGTCCCACACATCTGGATTTCTCACTAAAAGCCATCCGATCTTGGTGTACTAATGATCAAAACAACAACCACACTAAATTATTCAAATACCTATAGATTTATAATTTGAAATCAAGAGTTCTGACATTTATCTTTCAACTACTGTTACACTGTTGGTTCTTCTTTCCAAAGTAGAATTTTGATGCACACAAATTAATCACCACACACATTTTTGGGCCTCCTCTTCCATGTCTTTCTCTTTGTTTGGGCTTGAAATGTCACCAGTAGGCTACTATGTTTAAACACTTATTCCCCAGTTGTAGGCACTCTTTTGGAAAGTTATGAGATCTCTGGAATATTGGGGTCTAACAGGTAGATGTGGCTATTGGGCGTAGGCTTAAGGATTATATCTTAGACCCTAATTTTTGTTCTATACTCTGCTTCCTGATCCACAAAGACTAAAAGAAATTTTATTCACACTCCTGCCATCATGAGGCCACTCTAACCGTACATTTTTTTCTCTAACAGTAGAGATTAGACCATTCCATAACATGACTTACAATGAATCCTACATCCTGTAAGTTGCTTATGTTAGATATTACATCACAATCACAGTGATAACAAAATTCACTATTCTTCTAGCACCTATTCCAAACATCTTAACCATCCCTTGGGCTTAAGTCAATTCCTTTCTTTCTCTCAGTCTTTTCTGTCTAAATTCTGAGCAGCTCCCCATCACACACCAAAACCATGGCACAGATGTCAAGGCACAGATCTGTCCTAAGGAAAAGGTCTTCAGGAACCATAAGTGAGTGACTCTATCCTGCATATTCTCAAATTTGAACATTAAAGATTCTTAAACAGGGCCTCCTAGGTCAAGCTCAAGGAAACCTACCTTAGTGACTTCAGGAAACAGTCTGGGAGAGTCAGAGACTTACAGAGAATCTTCAGTCCTTCATCTTTCAGGTCATTGAAACTGATGTCTAGATGCTTCAGAGTTTTGTTCCGCCTAAGAACATCAGAAATGTAGTCCCAGCATTGCTCACTGAGGGAGCAGTTGCCCAACCTGTAGGAGGGAAGGAAGAGCATGTGAAGGAGGAAAAATATATCATTTCCAAAATGTTACAAATAACCATAATCAAATATTCAAGCAAGAGGAGGAACTTCTGGCTTATTCTAACCAATCACCTTTCATTTCTTCTGATTCACATCAGATCTAACATTTAAACTGAATAAATCCTTGAAAAATATATTTGAAAAACAGTATGTATGTGGTTTAGTCTCAATTCTGTTGCAGTAATAAAAATTATCCTTACAAAAATCAATTTTGGGGAGAGAGACTCAAATTTAGCTCACTACTCAGGATTGTACTCTTACTGTCTAAAGTCAAGGGAACAGAAACTTCAAACAGTTGATCAGATCACATCCCTTTGGCACAGAGAATTCATATATGTATGCCTAGATTTTTCATTCTTCTATTATCCAGGACCCAAACCCAGGGTAATGGTTCTGCACATGATAAGCCTGATCTTCACAGACCAATTAACATAATCAAGTCAATTCCTCAGTGGAATCAGGTTTGTGGTTTGAAATTTCTTCAATGAGACTGTATCAATGGGAAGATATTACACGCAATTAGTCTGTGTTGTGTCTGAGAGAATGCCTTGGTCTTTGGGTAGGATTCATATACATGACCTTCTTCCAGTCACCAAGTCAATACAGAAACTGACAATTCGAAGAAAGAATGAATTCAGAACTGCCCAAGCACACTTTGGCTGCATTCTAAGCTCAAGGAATGAGGGACTGCATAACTGTCCTACTCCATTATGGATGCAAACAATATATCACCCCTATCAAGAATCACAGCCATCCTACACAGGCATTCCTTTCCCACAGGAAAGGTCTGTGCTTTACTGTTGTGTAATAAACAGTCTGGTCTGTTGAGATTAGGGTCGAATATCTTCATCTGTCCCTTGTGTCTCTATGCTGCATCAGAAATCTAACAATGTGAATATTTCATGTGTGCTCCTATGTTTTGAGGCTCGAGGATGATGCTGATACCTCTTCTCCTGTTGCTCTCTGCCTTGTTTTGAGCCTGAGACTCATCAATAAAGTTAATCCTTGACCTCTGAGACCCATCTATCTTCATTCCTCTGCTCTAGGATTACAGACATTGAGTGCTGCTGCCTTTAGCATAGAAAATACTCTGACCCACTGAGTCATTTCCCCAACCACAAAACTGGCAGATTTTAGTAAACAGAGACAAGGTTGAAACTATTTCCACATTTCTCTCTACTGCACCTCACCACCCAAGGCCACTTACACTAAGTTCTCCAGAACACAGTCTGGGTGGTACAAAACCTTGCAGAGTGAAGATATCCCCAGGCCAATGTTGTTGGATGCCAAATTAAGATCCTTTAAGCTCTTGCTGCTCATCAGGACGAAGGCAAAGTTCTTGCAGTCGTCAGGTGAAAGTTTACACTGTGCTACCCTGTAGGGAAAGGATAATATTATATTCATTGTCTTCCTGACATTTTCTCTTCTTATACCTCTGAAGGTTTGTGATCTCACAGAACTTGACAATGCTCTATATTTTAAAAAAATGATTTATTTTTAATTTGCATGAATCTTTGCTTGAATCTATATGTTTGCATCAAAACGCATGGCTAGTGCCTTCACAGACAAGATGGGAGGTGCCACAGCCCCTAGAATTGGAATCACAACTGGTTGTAAGCTTTGAGTATGGAGTGAGAGTCGAGTGCTGGGACAGAACTTAAACCTTGGTTCTCTGTATGATCAGGAAGTGCTCTTACTCCATACAGTCATCTTTCCAGCTGAGTTTAAAAATTACATTTATTTATAGGTGTGTGTATGTGTGTGATGTCCTTGATTTACCAGAGGTAATGTATGCTACATTGGGAAATTGTGATGCGCTGTTTCAGCTGGCAGAAATTGAATTTTGCTAATAAGTACATCTTTTCTTTCCCAGATTCTAGCATATTTATTGCAAATGGCCTCTCTAAGACTCTGTCTAGAAATAGGCTGGCCCTTCTGGATCTGTAATAAGGAGTGAGGATAATAGTCACACAGCCAAGAGTAAAACTGATAATGGCTGGAAGGTAAGACAGTACCCATTAAAGTTACTATTGTTTATACCACACCATAATAATGGCATACAGCATGAAAGAGAAAGGAGGAAGGAACTCACAGGTGGAGAGAATGCTCTATTCTGCCTGGAATCCTCAATGGGTAACTCCACCAGGGCTTTTTCAAAACACCTCCCCCCCTTATTTCTGCTGGATGAGCCAAAGCACCTTTCTTACTCATGCTATTTCCAAAATTTATCTATCTGCCGTTGTATCTACTTTTACTTGGGGCCCAATGTGTACACCCTATTCTTCATCCCAGGAAAGGAGAATAGGATTTTCCTCGAACTGCTTCAATGACGTTTTCCTAGTCAATTTCTGCTGGCTATATGCAGTCTGTGATGTGATGGCATCTTTAGTTTTCTCTCTCATTGGGCTATCTTAGACTCCTCTGATGATGTATGAGATCTGATGATAACTTGCTAACTATCTGTGGCTACTTTCTATTACTTACTACTTAATTTTTTCTTGCTATTTAACTCAATAAACTTAATCATTTAAAACCAAAAGCATGGTTATCAAAGAACTATACAGAATAATTGTTTCCAGGGCAGGAAAACAAGATAAAAGTGCATATATTAAGAACTGGAATCCATATTCATTCCTGCCTCCTTTTTCTGTCACTAGCTGCAAACCGGGAACCACTATACTTTGTCTCTAATACTGTAGTCATTCCCATCATTGAACTTTATATGTGAAGCACATGACATCTTTTGAATCAAACTAGTGCCACCAACAATATCTGAGATCCATCTAGATAGCTACGAGTATCTCAGCCAGCTTACTGCCAGTCAGAATTTCAAATTTTCAGGTATGAACATCTGCCATGATTGGTACACAAAGCACCCATCTTTCAGCCAATGGAGTCACATAACCATAGACTTTACACTCATCAGTAAGAGTTCTGAGTTTTAGGGTAGGTCAAACCTATGAAATCTGAACTGAAGCCATGATTTCCAAAGTGGATATACCTATCTAGAAATTAACATTTCACATTCCAAAACCAGTTCAATTTAAGTAAAATTTAAAGTAGACTTATGCATCTTTATTTTACATGTAAGAGTTTCGCCTGGGTGTATCTGTGTACCACATACATAACTTGTGCTTGTAGATGTCAGAAGATATAAGATCCTGTGGAACTAGAGTTACATACAGTTGGGGCTGAGGGTAGAACTGTGGTTCTCTGGGAGAGCAACAAAGTGTCATAACAACCCAGTATTTTAAATTATTATTAATTTCTTTCATTTATTTACATTATGTGTGCATATACTATTACATATGTTATAGTACAATACAATGTGGAGAATGTGGAACAAAAAAGGACAACTTGTAAAAGTTTGTTCTTTCCCTTCTGCATGTAGATCCTGGGATAGAACTCAAGTTGTAGGGTTGGCAGCAAGTATTTTTTTAATCCACTGATCCATCTCATTGACTAGCTGTGATCAGGTTAAAGGGAGTAAGTCTACAACGGCAGATAGATAAATTTTGGAAATAGCATGAGTAAGAAAGGTGCTTTGGCTCATCCAGCAGAAATAAGGGGGGGGAGGGAAAAAGCCCTGGTGGAGTTACCCATTGAGGGTTCCAGGCAGAATAGAGCATTCTCTCCACCTGTGAGTTCCTTCCTCCTTTCTCTTTCATGCTGTATGCCATTATTATGGTGTGGTATAAACAATATTAACTTTAATGGGTACTGTCTTACCTTCCAGCCATTATCAGTTTTACTCTTGGCTGTGTGAGTATTATCCTCACTTCTTATGAACATGAACAATAGAAAAATAGGACACATGTTCACAAATTAAAAATGGTAGTCTGTAATGATTTTAAAGTCAACTTGACACAATTTAGAATCACTTAGAAAGGGAGTCTCATTGGGGGGTTCTCTACATGGGAAAGACCTGTGGGCATATTTACAAGCAATTTCTTAATGAAGTTAACTGAGATAGTAAGACACACACCATTCCTCAAGAAACGGGATCCTGACCTGTATAGGAATGGGGAAAGTTAGTTGAGCACTAGCATGTGTACATCAATCCACTGCTCTTTGCTGTTGATAGTACATGTGACTATGCTTCCAATTTTCTGCTACCCTGGCTTCCCACAGCAATAGCCTATAAGCTCAAAAACTGAATCCAGAAAACCTTTTTCTCTATTATTGCTTAAATCGAGACACCTTTTTCACAACAAAATGGATCAAAATTAAGATGATTCCCTTGAGGGGAGTCAGTGAGCTAGAAGAACACAAAGACTTACACCAGTTTTTTTATGTTGCACTCTTCCTGGATCAAGATTTCACACAACAGTTTCACCTCACTGTGGGAGAGGGATGAGCGGCTAAGGTTCAAGTACTCTAAACTGCAGTTCTGAATCAACTCAAAGAACATGTGTACACCACCAAAGAAGGCCACATTATTTGCCCTGCAGAACAAAGAAAACTATCCATCAGTTTCCATCCATCTTCCATCCATCCAGTTTGCTCTCATCTTTGGCAAATTCCTATGTCCCATAATGACCATATCACTTTAATTTTGTAGCCCCATATCAGCTCACTAATTATCAAACTGGATGAGTTTCTTCTTCCATGTAAAACTCTGAGAAACATATGGAGGCAAGGTTGGTTGTCAAATGAGGAAGCTACTGGTATCTAGAAAGCAGAGCCCCCACATATACTCCCATCATCCTACAATTCATGGGACAGTCCTAAATGAAGGGTGGTTGGCAACAGACATTAGTGGTGCCAAGCCAGTGAGTGAGATTGCACTTGAGATTGTATAAACCTCCAAATTATGCAGTTAGTTGAAAGATGGAGGGAAAATTAGTTTGTTACTTCTGTGATATGAATATATCAAAGTCGACTTTTAACTTACATAAGTCTTTTAAGGGTGAAGCTGGGATTCTTCAGAGATTCATACAAGACCTGAAAGGTTGACTCATTGAAACTAGTTTCTTTTATTTGGAGTACCTGGATGTCTTTACTGTTTATGAACACAGAGCACATATGATTCCAACAGGTGAATAGCTTTTCCCTATAACAGAGGAGAACAGAGCACATTCCATGGTTAGAAAGTTAACTCAAGGGGCTGGAGAGATTTCTCAGTGGTTAAGAGCATTTACTCTTCTCCCAGAAGACCCAAGGTCAGTTTCCAGCACCAACATGGTAGCTCACAACCATCTGTAACTACAATTCCAGGGTTATCCAACAGCTCTTCTATCCACCATGGGCACTGTATGCACGCCATGTACATTGCACACATATAGGAAAAAATATTCATACCCATAAAATGAAAAGCACATGATAAAACTCCCTGTGCTTTGTTTTACTCTTTTACAAAAAGTTAAGTCAAGCCATTCACAATACATAAATGTAGCAAACTGATTCCCCATACAGAATAAGCATAGCCAGCTTAGGTCATTTCACATTTGCAGTTCTTAGCCAGACACTTGGCAAGGTCTGTGGGATTCTGGTGTTATAGCTTGAGGGTAGAGATGCAGTTAATGTCTACTGGGAAAAGGCCAGAAGATTCTAAGAATCCTACACTTTGGGGACCAGGCTTGTCTGGGGCTTTCAGCTATGCCCTACACTCCCACAACAGATTAAGATAACCCAGATAGCTTGGCAGTGTTGAATTTGAGAAATCATGCCTTACAGTTAACCTTGGTAGTTTTAGAATGAAAAATGGGTCAGAGTCCCTGAGTCAAAACCTAGAGCCAGGATTTCTTGGCTCAAGCCTCTGATGTATCTTAGATAATATATGTGACTTCTATGTCTACTTTGGTTACATCTAACAGGATAGTCAAATTTGCCTTGTAACATTTCTCACTGCATACGGGCCATACCATGTGTGTAGAGGTCAAAGGATAACTTGCAGAAAGATTCCTACCTTGTGGTCTTAGTCAATGAATTTAGGTCATGAGACTTGAGGGCAAGCATCTTTTATCTACTGAACCATCTTGGCAGCTTACCTTACATGTTTCTGAATATGAAAATTTAGTGGTTAATTTAAGAGTGCTCATGATTCTTTCTAGAATAAGATTTTCGATCCCAGGAGTCATATCTGCCATTTAACTATAGCTTCAGGGGATCTGATGACCTCTTCTGGCCACTAGGGCTATCTCCGCTTTTGTGAATACTAACATGCAGTCACATACACATAAATTAAAAATGAAATCTTTTAAAAAGTATAAGCTGTTGTCAAAACAGGTGCATTTCTTGTTTTTTTTTTCCTCCTTAAAAGCTCTATTTTGTTTTTAAATTTTTTTTAAACAATTGAAATAGAATTACATCATTTTCACCCTCTTGCCCCTATTGCGTACCACCACCAATCAAATTGACAGCACTTTTTACTGTGTGTGTGTGTGTGTGTGTGTGTGTGTGTGTGTACACAGAGAACCTATCAAGTTTGTTTTTGCTGTTCTTTTTATATTGTTTCCAGGCTGACCATTCGCCTTTGGACAACCAGTATGGGTGAGTTTTGAATCTATCTATATAAAGCATAAATGCACAGGGACAAATTCTGAAATGGAACAGAAATGAGAGACAGTGAAGGGACTCACTTATAGCTTTTTTCTGGTTCTTCAATCAGGACACTTTGGGTTGAAAAGGATAGTCTCTTCAGTGTAGAACAGTGTTCTAAGCAGTAGGCAGCAATAATAATATCAGAATAATCCTTGACAACAACATTAATATCTACCATACAGTTCATTGCTTGTACTAAGAAGGCTTCATCCTCCAACTCAAACAAACAGGAAAACAATTTCATGCCATCAATTTGTTCTTGAAACCTTTCATTGTTCTTTATGGTTTCTAGGCACTGATACAATGTATCCTTTATTCTCTGGGACAGCTGGTAGCCAAAAAACACCTCTAGCTTTTCTTGTTCCGATTTGTGTAAAAGGCCAAAGATGAAACAGCCCAAAAAAACCCACTGTACTTTGACTTTCATTAGAAACGTATACATGAGTGTCTCTATACATTTCACATCCTCACTAGGGTGGTCATCGTGGCTCTTTAGCAGATAAAAGATGGCAGCACAGACCTCCTGGACAGATTGGTGGAAGAATATGTAAGAATTTTCAGATTCCCCGATCTTTCCAAGCATTCCAATGTCCAGCAATGTGGGGATGTCAGAGTCCATGATCCCATTTCTCCTGAGAGCCTCTTCACTAAACACAAATGTGTCAGTCCACATGCCCTCAGCAGCTAGAGAACATAAGGCCTGCAGCTGGTCTTGGCTTTTCTTACTTGGATATTGGGCACTTTCTGGAGTGAACAAATTGAAGATATGAGTGGTATACAGAGAGGTGGTACATCGGCAAATGGGAACAGGATCTCTTCCTTTCTCTATCTCATCTTTAAGACAAGTAATCACCATCCAGCAGAGCACAGGAGCCTGACATACAGTGAACAGCTGCTCATTTTTTCTCACCAAACTGAAGGCTTCTTGGGCTCTGTTCTTATCATGGAACAACCTGTGAAAATACGTGCTAATATTGTCCTCCTGGAATCCCTTTACTATTTTTACATCTGTGTACTCAATTATGTCCTGAATTCTCTCAAATGTCTCTGGGGTAGCGGAGATGAGGAGAGAGGATTCAGGAAGCATCTTCCTCCTGAGCAAACTGCTCATCAGTATATTCACTGGCTGCTTCTCCATGCAGTTATCGCACAGCTGAGATTCCCGTTCTGACATATCACATTCCATCACTTCTAAGCTATCGATGATAAATAAGAGCTTCTCAGGTTTCGATAGTATCTCCTCTATGGGAGCTGAGGCATTGGGCCACTCTCTGGAGATCAGTTCAGCCAGGCTAGCTGTCTTCAACTGCTTCACATCTTGACAGCAGAAGTAGAAGATGTAGGAAAATCTGTTCTGAGACACCAGGCCTTCTGACCAGGCAAGCATAAACTTCTTCAGCATCAGTGTTTTGCCAATTCCAGCAACACCATTCATGAACACCATGTGTGGGTGTGTTTCAGTTCTCGTTGATAGAAGAAGACTCTCAAAATAATCACAGTCTTCCTTGGTGAATTTCTCCTTAAAGAAATCCTGAATACTAATGCTGAATGCTCTGAAACCATAATGGGTCAGCTTCTTCTTCAAATGAGCTCGATATAACTTTGGGTGTCCTGAGTCAGTAAGCACAAGGAAAAAAAAATCCACAACATATCAAAGTTAAACATTCACTTATATAACATCTGACCATAACATTTTTTAATTATCAAAATAAATCATTAAAAAGATTTATTTTTAATTATGTGTGTGTTAGTGGGTTCCTGTACAGGTCAGAGGTGTTAAGTCCCACAGCTATCACAGCTGGATTTATAGCTCCCCATGAGTACCCCAACATGTGAGAAGATTTTCACTGGCCCTACAGCACAGTTGCATTTCTGTGTGTGTCATGAATATTATACCATTAAACTGTCACGTGCTGTTTCAGAAGCTGCCACTTGAAGTAGGATTGTCCCTTTTCCCCATTTTGGACCCAAGCATGTCTTTAGTACAGTGCCTTCTTGGGTTCTTGTTTGGGAATGGTCTGACCCCTAACTCTGCAACAGGAAGGGAAGAGAATGAAAGAGCTCAGTACCATGCCCTTCAGATCAGTTAAGTCATAAACCATTTCAAGCAGACTTTATGATACCCCATGCTATAAAAGTACCTGCAGTGGAAAAAGAAGCCTGTACTAGAACATTGGGAACCTCAGCCATGGAGAGACAGTTCCATTGGAAGCGCCAACTCATTCTAACTTCCTTATCTGGTTTTTGCTGCATGCTATGAGAGCACAATTTGATGGTGTTAAGAGAGCCCGATTTGCTGATCTAACCCTCATAACATTTTATGCTTTTTTCAATTGGGAATATCACTTGAGAGGATACTCTCTGCTCTGCTTGGGAACTCCAGTTGCCTGCCTTAAAGAGGTATCCCTAGTCAATTTTTTTAATGTTTTGAGGGATAATTTGATGATTTGTTCTCTCTCTCTGTCTCTGTCTCTCTCTCTGTCTCTGTCTCTCTCTCTCTCTCTGCCTCTCTCTCTCTCTCTCTCTCTCTCCTTCCCTCCCTCCCTCTCTCCCTCTCTCTCTCTCTCTCTCTCTCTCTCTCTCTCTCTCTCTCTCTCTCTCTCTGCCTCTCTCTCTCTCTTCCCCATCTCTCCCTACGACCACTTATGTCTATCATTTGCTATCTATTTATTATTTGCTTTCACTTGCAATGTACATAAAGAATGTATTCATTCAAAACCAAAAACATGGCTTTCATAGATAATACTCTGGACCATATGGAACCCTGTGCTGGGTGCAGCTGCTCCACTGGAATAGTAGAAATACCAATCATGTGTGGCAGAATGCATGGCTCTCTAAACTCAAGCACCAGTTTCTGTTAACCCCTGTACATACACAGATGTACACACCTAACAGAGCGTTATTATACATGATTGCAATTACAGCACAAAACTGAAAAATTATATCACTATCAACATAAGTTTGACTATATAATAATGAAAGCAGGTTCTGTCACACTGACATTAAAAGTATACAACAATGGGATTAGAGAGGTATATCTGTAGTTGAAGCCACTGGCTACTCTGCAGGAAGTCTTGAGAATGGTTTCTAGCACACAGATCAGGCATCTCACAAGAGCCTATGACTCACCTCCAGGTTTCTGGCCTCCCGGCAGGTACTGTACTCACACACAAGCATGCATACATGAAACTTTTGAAATGTTACCTTAAAAGTTTTTCAACATACACCACCTCCCATATATGGCATGAAAGCAAAAAGAGTACGGTTTCAGTGGACAGAGGGAACTAGTGGAAAAGAGAGAAGGGAGAGTCATAGTGGGAGAATACTGTGAACAAAGCACAATCATACACACACACACACACATACACACACTTACACTGAAATACTGTGATGCTGAGTATAACACATAACTTTTAAAAGGTTCTCAATAAATGTAAGGTTGGGCAATCAATGGAACTTGAGAAAAAGCAAGTCAAATTGTATACAAAAAGATCTTAAATAAATTTAACAATCAAGAAATATAGAGGCTGGTAAGATGCTTTAAGGGCATTTGTTATCAAACCTGAGGACCTAAGTTTCATCCTTGAGAATCAACTGACAGAACTCTTAAGAGGTTGCTCTCTGATCTCCGTTTGTGCACCATGGTATACAAATGCATAATTGTATATACACAAATAATAAATATAAAAAAGTCAAAAGAAGCCTAATAGGTGGATTTTTTTATTGATTAGAAATACCTGAACAGGGGATAAAAGCCCTGAAGACTTTTAGAAATAAAAGCTAGCCTAAAGCACAGAGAAAAGATAAAAATGAAATATATATAAGACATTGTATGAAGATCTAACATATGGGACTCCAGAGATGGCTCAGTAGTTAAAACACCTAGAAGACCTAGGTTTAGTTACAAGCATCCACATGACACCATCCACATTATGTAAGTCCAGATCTGATGTACTCTTCTGGCCTTCAAGGTATAAATAGTCCATAAATAGTGAATGCAGGCACTCTCACATACATGTAATATAGTTTCTAACTGCTCACATGTATTTTAATCATGAATTAAAGACTCTTATATGTAGCTGTATTTCAAGAAGAAGGTGGGAAAAACAGCACAAAGACAATTTGTATAAACAGATTTAAAAAAGACATGCATGATGTGTCCTCACGTATAAGTGGATATTAGTCATAAAGTACAGGATAACCAGAGTACAATCCACAAACCTAAAGAAGCCAAATAACAAGGAGGGACCAAGGAAGTATGGTTAAATATTTCTTAGAAAAAGAAATAAACTAGATATCAGAGACGAATGGAGAGAGGGAACTGGGTGGGAGATGGGATAGGGAAGAGATTGGGATGGGGAAGATCAGATGTAGAGAGAGCAGGGGAGAGAGAACAGAAAACAGTGGGAATGCATCTCTAGGATATGCCAGAGACCTGGAATGGAGGAGACCCCAGAATGTCTATGGGTGTGACTCTAGCTGAGACTTCTGGTAGTTGGGAATACGAATCGTAAAGAGCCCATGGCCTGTAGCCAGGGAGGATTCCCAGTGGAGGGACAAGAACAGCGCCCACCCAACAAAACTGTCAACCCAAAATGTGTCCTTTCTACCTACAAGATATTCAGAGAAAATGATAGGGCAGAGACTGAGAAAATATCCAAGGAATGGCTACCGCAAATTGAGATCTACCCCAAGGGTAAGAACCAAACTCTGACATTGTTAATGATACTCTGTTATGTTTGCAGATAGGAGCATAGCATAACTGTCCTCTGAGAGACTTCACACAGAAGCAAATAGAAAGAGATGTAGTGACCTACAGCCAAACATTAAATGGAACTTTGGGGAGGCTTGTGGAAGAGTTTGGAGAAGAGAGCAGGGAACTGAAAAGAGCAGGAACTCCATAGGAACACCAAAAGAGTTAACTAATCTGGCCCATGAGGGCTCCCACCAACCAAAGAGCAAGCATGGGCTGGACCCAGCTCCCTTACCCCCACCACATATGTAGCAGATGTCCAGCTTGGCCTTCATGTGGGTCCCCCCAACAACTGGAGGGGAGAATGTCCCTAAATCTGTTGCCTACCTGTGATCCCTAACGGGGCTGTCTTGTCTGACTTCAGTGGAGATGATATGCCTAAACATGCAGTGACTTGATATATCAGCGGGTGGGGGGGGTAGGGGGTGGTTATAACCTAGTAATCTCTCTCTTCAGGGAAAAAGAGAAGAAAAATGGAAGGAGCAATGGGGGAGGATCTATGTGAGGGGATATTTGGAGGAGAGGGAGCTGATATTGAGACATAAAGTCAAATTTTAAAAGTGTGTGTGAGGGGAAGAACACCATGGAGACAACTTTTAAAATAAAGGTTGGAGTAAAAAATATTATATAGCCACAGATCTAAGATTATCAATGAATCCCAAGCAGAACAAGCTTAGAAAAATACCTTACATCTAGCCTTATCGTATTATGACACTGGAACATCAATGACAAAGAAATGCATTAAATCTTAAAGCATCCAAGATATCTTATACCAGGATAAATATAAGTGTGCCTCTTAAGATCCATAGTGTTTATGAAGGATGACTTTTCTGTTAAAAGCTTTTCCTTGCTAAAGATCAAAACAGACACAGCCACAACAAAGACATTACATTACATAAAACATTATATAAATGTTTTAAATGGATCTATGATATGTATGTGGGAAGGTGTGGGAGATTAAAATACATATCCTTGAGGAGATAAGTGGTTGGACATTGAGGAGACATTGGGTGTCTTCCATTGCTATCCACTTTAAAAAAAGATTTGTTTTTTTTAACTTGGGTGAATGGGTGCTTTTGTCTGCATATATTGATGTGCACCATTTCTGTGAAGTGCTCCCAGAGGATAGAATAAAGCACTGGATCCTCTGAAACTGGAGTTATAGATTGTTGTTAAACACCATGGAGATTCTGGAAACAGAGCCTAGGTCCTCTGTAAGAGCAGGTATTTTTAACCACTGAGTCATGCCTCCAGGACCTCCATCTCATTTTCTGAGATATTTTTTTTAAAGCTGGCTTAGAAACTATCAAACTGACTAGCCAACTTAGTACCATGCCTGACTTTTGTGTGTTTGCTGAGATCCACAGTTAGTTTTTCTTGTTTATACAGCAAGCACATTACATACTTAGGCACCTTCCTAGACCCAATGAATATGATCTATTACAGGTATTTTCTGTTGCTGCTAGCCTAAATACACAGTACTACACCTTCACTCTGGAGTTGAGCCTCTAGTAGTTTAGATTAGAGGGAACATAACTAATATCCTGGGTAGACGTTTTACCAACTAAGTTATAGCATAAAACACTCATACATTTGACCATACAGACTGGACCTCATATGACTACATGAATCTGCCTTCTTCCTCAAGGAGAAGAATATCCCTCTCCTGGCCCTATAGTAGACGGGCTTGAAGAATAGTTATCTAAACTATAACATAATCCTCATTCACTGTAAAGAAGCTTTCACCAACTCACCAGCAATCTCTCTTTGTGCCCTCTCAACGAGATCCTTCCTGTTGAGCTTCTCAAAAATTTCAAAGGTCATGTCCCAGGTTTGCTTCTCTTCATAATGTTTCAACAGTAAGTTGGCAAGTTCTTCCCGAGATGCCTTCTTCACTTCTGTCCAAGAAATCTGTTTCTGCCCCAATTGCAAAATCTCCTGTTTGAGGAATTCTTTAAACTTCATGAATTCCTTCTTGTTTAGCTCTTCCAAGTACCACATAAGGCCAAAATCAGAAAAGAATGATGCCATCTTGTTTAAGGAAGATGACTTGTATCTAGACAGATGAGTACCAGGATTAGGAAACACACAGGACCTGTGGGAAAATTAGGTAAGCAGTTGCATTACAAAATTAATTAATTAACTAATTAAAATAAAAAAGAGGTCAAAGGGCTGGAGAATGGTTTAACTTCTAAACTGTTTGCTGCACGAGAGTAGAAACATAAGCTGTGTCCTCAGCATTCTTGTAAGAAGCAGGGTGTGCAGCCACAGAACCTTCAACCTACTATACGTCTTCCTGGCAAATTTTGCTGGAATGGTGATGTAGAACTTGTGGGAGTGGCTAACCAGTTACTTGTATAACTGGAGGCCCATGACATGAGAGGGAACCCGCAACTGCCACTACACTGATGGCCAGGATCCTTTGGCTGCTCAGTCCAGAGACCCACAATAAAACCAAACGCAACTGTCAAAAGAAATGAAATTATTCCTAATGATTTTTCTGTTATACTCATAGATCAGTGCCTGTCCTAATAATCATCAGAGGCACCATCCAGGAACTAAGAGGAACAGATGCAGGGACTACAGCCAAAGAGTAGATGGAGTCAGGGTAACCCTGCAGTTGTGGCAGAAGCCAAGATTTCAGAAGCCAGAGACTTCAAGGACACTCTGAGAACACAACCCACAGAATCAACTAAGCAGGGCTCATAGGGGTTCGCAGTGACTGAAGAGAAAATCATGGAGTGTGCATGGGTCTGCACTAGGCCCTTTGCATATATGTTATGGTTGTATAGCTTGGTTTTTTGGAGCCCTCTAGCAGTGGAAGGTTAAGCGGTCTCTGACCCTTTTGCTTGCACTTAACCCCTTTTCCTCCTACTGAGTTACCTCTTCCAGCCTTCATGAGGGTTTGTGCCTAGTCTTATTGTACTTTGTTATGAGTATTCAGCTGCTATTACTGGTAGGCCTGCTCTTTTCTTTTTGAAGGGAAACAAGGGAGGGATAGATCTAGGAGAGAGAAAAGGTATATGTGAGGGAGACTGGGATACGTGCAAGTAGGGAATCTGCTTTTGGGATCTAATGTATATAAAGAAATAAAAATACACAGGCTGCGATGGCACAGCCCTGTGATCCTAGCACTGAGAAGGCAGGCAGAAATGGATCCCTGTGGCCTGAGGACCAACTTCTCTACCCAAATTCCTTGAGCTCATAAATCAGGTAGAGAGCGATTGAGAAAGATACTTGATGTCAACATCTGGCTTCCACACAAACACCCTACCTCCATCTCCACACATATCCATGGTCACTAACTTACCACATAGTACACTGTTCATTGTGAGTGATAAATAAGGGCAATGACTTTTTCCAAATGGGATCATGTTAGTTCTCATCCCATTAAAAGGCTCATTAAAACAATAACATGATGGTTCTCAACATTTCTAACGCTATAACCCGTTACTACACTTCATGTTTTGGTGACCTCCAAACAGAAAAATACATTAACTGCCTCTTCATAATTGCAGTTTTGCTACTATATTAATAGTGATGTAAACATCTGTGTTTCCTTATGGTCTTAGGTGACCCCTTTGAAACAGTGATTCATCCCCCAAAAGTGTTGTAACTCACAGGTTGAGAACTACTGCAACAACATTTAGAAAATAACAAAGTGAGATTTACTATTCTAAAGAATTACTGATGAGGTTGGAGTAATGGATCAGCAATTAAGAACCTTTAGTGCTATTGAAAAAGACCCAGATTTAGATTTCAGTACCCATACTGGTGGGCTCACAGTTCTCTGTAACTTTGGCTCCATGGGATCTGGCACCCTCTTATGTACTCTGCAAGCATGGTACACATGTTGTGCCCCTACAACATGTGCACACAAACACATGAATAAATGTTAAAATAATACTGCTACCACTAACACTGATGATATTAGGTAGAATGCTAGTATACAGATCAGTATTACAATGCTATCATGATAACAGTATTATTGTACACAACACACTGTCATAAAAAAAGCTGTAAATATGAACAGATAGCCGAGTCTAGTGGTACAGGCCTGGGATCCTAGCTAATTCAGCAGAAAAAGCAGGAAAATTAAGACTTCATGGTCTGCCTACAAACGTAGTGAAGTCAAGGCAAGCCCAGGCAACTTAGTGAAACCCTGTGTCACAAAAAGGGGTTAGAAGTACTGCCTGCTCTTCCAGAAAAACCTGGGTTCATATTCCAGCACCCATATAGTGGCTTACAATGATGGGGAGGTACAGCTCAGGGGTTAAGGGTAGCTGGAGATCATGCAGAGGACCTGAATTCAGTTACCAGCATCCATATTGATTGACTCACAACCACCTGTAACTCCAGCTCAAAGGCATGTGATACCTTCTTCTGGCCTCCCCGAGCACCACACATGTATGTGGTGCACTGACAAAACTCTCGTACACATAATTAAATCCATAAATAAATATAATCCTTAAAGTATATATAAATAAAACATGAAAACTGTGCTGATTTATGGATCAGTGGAAGAATTGTTTGTGTAGTGTGTGCACTGCAATTGATTCAGTCTTCAGTGCTGCAAGAACAAAACAATCAAGTGCGACAAAACCATCCAAAGGAAGGCTTAACATAATTATGATATCCACAAATTTTAAAAGACAAAAATACAGAAAGGAGGACCCTCACCAGATATTAGATGCAGATATATTTGAATCATCCAGAAAACATGAAAATTCTTAACCTGTATCCACCTAGCACCTCTACTCTCAAAAGTAAATAGACTTATCTGTAAGTAGTGGGAGTATACATGAAGGTGTGTCTTTTCAACAAATTGCACTAGAACAACACAATCTACTTGCAAAATAAAATTAACTGGCTCCAGCAGCATGATGTTGTCATCTGGTCACTACATACACTTGTGCACACACATGCATTCACACTTATGAAAAGATGCTAAACAGTATTCATCATTAATAATATGAAAATAAAAACAATGAGATATCCTCATATACCTAAGGAATGAGTAAGGGACTAAGGGAAGTGGCTCAGATGGTAAAGTGCTTGCCTAGGAAAGTAGCCAGCTCTGGTTCTGTTCTAGCATCACATGCACACAAAGGAAGAAAGTAAGGAAGGAATGAAGAAATGAAGGAAAGAAGAAGGGATAGAGGAAGAGAGGAAGAAGGAATATAATTCCTACTCCTGGGTGGCCTTAGGATTCCTATGTGCGTACACAATGGAAAGAGAAAATAAACTCTTACAAGCAGACCTGACACCACAGACACTCCTATGCATGTGTGCACCCCTATGTGTATACCCACATGAATAAAATAAATGTAATAAAAATTGGAGGTACACATGTATGCTCAATCCACAGCTGGTGTATTGAGATGCAACTTCAATGTAAGTTGTGATATCTATGTATTTGGAAAGATCACTACTGGGTTGTCTGAAACAACTGATGAAATCATCAATATACTATATCAAGAAGCACAAGGGGAGACATTACCAAACATCTAGACTCTTTACAGAGAAATGAAAAAAGGAAAACAATCAAGACACAGAAAATATTGGAAACAATTCCAGAGTGCGAGGTAGGGCTTGTGGATGGCAGGCACTGAACTGTGCTGATGTGGGGAGAGGGAGAGAAGGGCTTGCGGAGGAAGGATACTATGCTCTACAGACATAGTCTTCTGTGTTGACTGATGAAAAGGTCAGACCTCACACCTCACTAACAAGGGTCTAAAGGCCCACTGACACTCTATGAGTTCTTCAAAGGACATCTTTATCTAAGAGGATAAACTGTCATCACTTAGCTCTAAGTGACGCCTTCCTGAAGACATCCCCACTAAGTATAATAAAGACAGGAATAATCTGTGTTTACTTCTGGCTAAAACAGATTCTCAACCTGTGGTCATGACACCTTAAGGATCCAGTGACCCTTTCACTGGGATCGCATATCAGATATCCTGCACATCAGATATTTATGATTCATAACAGCAAAATTACAGCTATGAAGTAGCAACAAAAACTTATGTGGTTAGGGGTTACCACACAACATGAGGAACTGTATTAAAGGGACAAAGCATTAGGAAGGTTGAGAACCACTGGACCAACATAATATATAACCTTGATTCTCTAGCCCTCTTTTCTCATGTCCTAGAAGATATCTTTTATAAAGCCACCTCAAAATTTTGTGTGTTAAAAAAAGGCCTTCAACTTTTAACCTTATTACAAACAACAATCTTGTTTAAAATATTTTGGAGTCTTTTTGTGTGTATGTGTATATCTGATGAATGTGGTGTGTGTGTGTGTGTGTGTCTGTGTGTGTGTCTGTGTGTGTGTGTGTGTGTGTGTCTGTGTGTGTGTCTGTGTGTCTGTCTGTGTGTCTGTCTGTGTGTCTGTCTGTGTGTATATGTGTTTAGAGGCCAGAAAACACTATCAGCAGCCTGGAGCTGGAATTACAGGCAGCTGAGTCACTCACGTGGGAACCAAACATGGGTGTCTGGAAGAGCAGCAAACATTCTTAATCAGTGACCTGTCTCTCCAGAACTACAAAGTACACTCCTCTTTGGGCAACGTTAGAGTAAAGTGAGAGGGGCTCTATTTCTTAGCAATCTTTAGAGGTATACTGTGAGAGCCACCCAGTTCCAATGTGTGCCCAATGAAAAGAAACAAACTCTGACTCTCCCTTGATGTCCTATCTCATCTCTCTCCTCTCCCCTCTCCTCCCCTCTCCTCCCCTCTCCTCCCCTCTCCTCCCCTCTCCTCCCCTCCCTCCCTCCCTCTCTCTCTCTCTCTCTTTTGAAGCATTTTTCTATTTTTTTTTTAACAAATCCAAATTGGCTTCATATCTGCCTTGCTCTGAAATTAATTTCTTCATTGAAGCCATAAATCTTAGTTTTGCCTGTGTGAATGGGAGTTGGCCTCTCTGAAAAGATGCCCCCTAGGCAGCTGCTAGTGTGGAGTGAGGCTGTGTTCCTAGCACTAGTGACAACCCAACTAGATCAGACACTTAGGATTAGGGAAACTGTTAGAAT